CGCCGCTGCCACACTTTGCATTAAAGTTTTAGTTTTCTTCTTCAAAGGGGCAAAAAAAAAAAAAGGCTTTTTGCAATGTTAAATGCTGACTCTGTCACAGTCAGGCCAGGCTCTTCCTGGAGCTGCATGCCTGCCTCGAAGTTAAACTCTCCTATTTGTTGAGGTTTCATCAAGTTGACCAAATTTAAATTAATGCATTACGCCTTTTTATTGCCTTGCCCCGTTTCGCTTTTCCTTTGTTAGGTTTGGAGGTGGCTCTCCTCAGCCACCATTCATGCATTTTTCTACTCTGCCTCTTAAGCTTATTGATCAATAAAAGTTCAGAACAGTTGACCCAACGTAAAATCAGAAAAATACCTGTCTATTTCTATTGAGCTTTACTTATAAAAGATTGCTTCCTTTAAACAAACATAATACTTTATTGCTGCAGTCAAAGCTTCTGATTACTTTCGATCCCAGGACCTTCATGACAAGGATGCCTGCATCTGGCCATAAGACCCAGGGAATGCAATGATACTTTACATCTAATAATAGCATGCATTTGCGTGTTAGATAAATAAATTTAGAATTACGAAGCCTGTTAAATGTATGAAATTTAAAGTCAAAAGTGCCCGTGGAATAAGTTTCTCCCAAACAAAATAAAAGAAGAATATTGTCACGCCGACCCATGCCATATACATACTGTTCCAAAGCTTGGCTTAAAGCTTTGTGTTTCCATGTGAATGACGTATTTAAGCTTCCAAGTTATAAACTATGCACAGTTGGTGAGATGTATAGTACTCATATTACAGGGGCGTGATGAAAGGGAGCAGGCCTTCCAACTCTAATCGGTCACGTTTGCAAGTCATTATCCGATTGCTAACCTTTACAACAAGGGACTGTTTCAGGAAAAATGTGTTCCATAAATGTCAGTTTAGAAAGGTTGCAAGCAACTCAAATGCGTTGAATTTAGCCCAGACAGATTTGTACCTGCAGCACATTTATTAGGTACCTGTTTTTATGATGACAATACAAATATCTACTTTTTTTTCCCATTAAAGCCTTTGCTAACCAGCTTTCATATTTGTTAAAATTAAATACTTAGTTTAGTTTTTTTTTAATTAAAAGCTATTATGAAATTTTTATAAAAAAAATAATTTTTAAAATTAAACTAAAATTATTTGATTAGTTGATTAACAACATAAATTATATAAATTTTAATTTTAGTTAAATTATCATAAAGTACTCATGTCATCTTCAATTACTTAATAAATTAGACCAAAACAAATTTGTTTCGAGATTATATACAATTTAGATGTTAAAATAAAAAAAATTCATAAACTAATAAAATAACTCTCAAACTTATATAATAGTAAAAGCATTAGATGAAGAGAGAAGCTTTAAATAGTATTTGAATGTAGTTTTAAATTTTGAGTTTTTTTTCTTTTAATATTTATAAAAATAATTTTTTTTGTTTTATTACTAGATCTTTTGTTTTTTTATTATTTTTAATAGTTTTTGAATTGAAAGATAAAGAAAAAGGAAATCATGATTTTGTATTTAAAAATAGTGATTTGAGAGGAGACGAGATAGAGATTAATTGAGAGGGAAACGTATTTTTTGAAAAGTCTGACATGTTTGTAAAACAAAAGAAGGGAATGCTCCTTTCTTTAAGTTTTTTTTTTAAATTTTGTTTTTTTAAAAATTATTTTTTAAAGGATTTTTCAAAAATTTTGTTTAAATTAATTTCAACTTTTAATAGATAAATAAGTAAAAAAAAATATTAGACCAAACAAGCATTTAATATTAGCAAATATCCTTCTCCCATTGGAGATAATATTTTACCCGTATGTTAAGTAAGATGAAGAATATAATAGAATAAAATGAGATAAAAAAGTAGATTAATTGGATTAAATAATATCATCTTATCAAATGTTCAAAGATTGAAATGAACATGTGATATTCTTATGTTTGTTAAGAATAAGATTAAGGGTTGGATAAAATGATTTTTCATAATGGATCAAAATTATCCTTTCTTTCATTGTTAGTACAAACGTTGTTCTTAAGGATTAAATAAAAAACATGAAAATAAAGTTATCTAGCACATCATCTTATCTTATAGGATTAAAATAACATATACTTTATTTTCGTACGACTGAGTCCTTCTATATTAGGACAATATCTCTTTATATTTCGCATTATGTTTTTCTTTCAAAATGTATATCGAAAATAGGGTAGGATAAATTTTATCTTACCTTATCCACCATCCTGCGTATCAAATTGTTATTTGAGTTTGCAGAATGGATAAAAGTAAAATAAGATTGAAATGGAGAATTTAAATTATCAGTACAGTGCCTTCTTCTAAATTGTGACATTACTATTTTTAAACATTTTTTTCAAACATTTAATTTTAGAATATCGCTTGGACTTGAACATTAATTTAGTGAATGAGATTGGGATAAAAATTTAAGTATTTTATGATCAAGTAGGTATTCGCGTCGTGTGGTTACATGTTCAAGTCAGTATTTGGTTAATGATAGTGATTAGAAACAGGAGCAGAAGCATGGACATCTTTTTACCTCCCTTTGTTTATAAAATAACCCATTAGTAATCTGAGCCTTGGTGAAAATGTTACCCCATTTCAATACATAGGTGGGGCCACGCCTGACACATGTCTCATTATTGCAGGTTTATTTTAATCTTTGATTGATAGATCAAGAAAGTCTACTCCCACTACATCATAAACCTAGCTACCAACGGGTATGGGTGCAGGTTGCTATTTGAATCCATATGTTTGGAAACCCCGCAGGCATATGATTCTTGGGGTGAAGTTAAAGTGGACTCCAGGCTGGAGAAAGCAAAGGAGTGTTGAAAGAGTTAAGTTGTACGGAGTGCCGATGAGCTCACCGAGGAACACGCTTCACAAAGCGTCATTAATCATGATGACTTGCGTTTGGCACAGCTGCGGTGAGCAGCACCGTACCCGGTACCGTCCCCTGGCACCGGCGCACCTACGACGTGGACTTGACCTCACTGTGATTTCGGCCAATCCACGTGGCTGTATGCCGTTGGTCTTAAGGGGACTCTGCTAAGCTCTGCAATAGCCCATGGGGTCTCTGGTGTTTTCTGATTGGGGGGGAGGGGTGGTCAGAGCACACTGGATTTTGCTTGCTCATCTTTGCCTTTTTAACCAGCTCGGTTTTCGTGTAACATTTAGATTTTAAAATCTACGTGTTAAGTGTGAGACTAAAGGACAAAGAATAGTTGTATGGGGTCCACATATTCGGCGGGACCCCGGTCCATCAAGGACAGTTTTGTCAATTAACATATAATTAGTGCTACAGTCTTGTCAATAAAATATCCGTAATTGTTAACTCTTTATCTAGTAAAGAAACCACCTTTGAGATGAAATTTTGAGAAAATTCTTATATTGGCAAGGTTTGAGAAAATAGAATTTTCGTTGAACAGTGAGAATTGATTTTTTTTTTATTTTTTATTTTTGGCTCGGGGGACATGCTTTGCTGCGGCAATAATTCTGATCATGGTTAACGATGGGAAAGATTTGTCACATGGGTTCAAGGGCCTTTTTATGAACTTGATGACTTGATTGCATCTTAATTATGTTTCTACAAACTGTTAAATCAATACAGGCAGTTAATATTTTGAAATCTTATATATGGTACTACAACCGTACATGCCTCTGTCATCATTAACAAATGGAAAGGGAGAAAAATTAGACTTTATTCGGTGAATGTATTATTATTTCTTTTAAAGAAATAATAATTGTAGGACAGTCTAATTTCTCATAAATTTGGTGTAAATGTAATTAAAATACTAATAAATTTGATTAGTAGAAAAATCAGACATATTAACATTATTCATGATTTGAAGTATGTACTTTTTTTTTAATTATTGAACAAAAATGGAAACTGTTGTTGATTATTAAAATCAAATTTTTCCTCCATATTGTCAGAAATTATTCTACTGAGAATCCTGTAGTGGTGAAACAAAGTGTTAGTGACTTGTTATAAGTTCCAGCATAAAAAGATATCAAATAAACGTAAACCAGATTTTCAATTACATGGCACATTCAACAATTTTAGTTTGTTCCAATAGCAGATTAGGTCCTGGAGGGAATTCAGTTACCATACTAATTGTTTTTCTGAATAAGACAAACTCTTTCTCAATCAGGACAGCTGCCATTACTTGTGATATATGTTATATATATGGTCACTAATCCTTATCAGTAACATCCTAATAACTTTACATCAATCCCACATCAAAACACACAAGTTTTGATACTACCAAGATTCTCTTTTCTCTCTGGGAGAAAATTACCATTGCATCTAAACTACTAGGCACATTTTATCGCTACGGTCTCGCTAAGCCAAATTAAAATCCAGGATATAAAAGATAATAATTGCATGCCTCTCAACAGATAAAAATGGGATCGTAAACGAGCATGAGGACATTGATTGTTTGTATTTTTTGGCAAAACATATTTCTTTTTTTACTCTAAAAGCAAGTCCAGGTCACAGGAAGTCTGTTCATGGTCAGTGGTCACTTGTTCTATGTGTAAACACAATCATAGCTAGGCCAAATCGAAAAAACCTTTCTCTGTTAAGTTAAGATGATGTGATCCATCAACCCACTTTTTGAAGGGGAAGGAAAAAGAAAAAAGGAGTGGGGCTGAGAGTCAGGGTGTGACCCAATCGGGTTATAAAAGTAAAGTAACCGGGTGGGCTCGGATCATACCCAGCCACACTTGCATTTGGGTTAGCCTTTTTATTATTGATGTTAACACTGAACAGTAGTGAAACACTGATCGAACACCAACAAAAAAGGCAATGAGTGACGTGTACAACAATCCAAGTGTACAAAATGTACGTGCAGGCTTAGGGGACACAATTGTCATTTTAGTAGAAGACAAGGACAGCTGGTTGCCTTCCTACTTCGAAGCTTTGCCAGTGTATATATTACTCATTTATGAGCAATAAATCTTTTACATTTTCTACATAGGGATTTTTTTTTATTTCCAAATTTAATTACTCTGTTAGTGGTATTAGATATATACTCTGTATTCTAAAAATTATAATTATGTTTGGCCGTGGATTTCTATGGTGGAAAACGCGAAGCTAAGAAACAATAAAAGAAAAAAAAAACTCTTCATCTCACCTCCATCGTGCTCTCTCTCTCTCTCTCTCTCTCTTGTCTCTGCCTCTTATCTCTGTTCTGCTACCCATCAGCTTCGCCCAAAGAGACAGGGGACGGGACGGAGAGGGGGAGAAGTGAAGGGAGTGAGAGCGTTACTCTGGCGGCGCACGGTAGCACCGTGCCCCCTTTCCTACGCCGTAGTTCATTTTCCACCGATTCCTTTCTAGTATTTCTTTCCTAACAAAGGTCGCTTCCTTCCCACGGCAAATTCCTCTTTGACACAGAGCCAAAAAAAGAAATCGATTCTGTACTTCGCTTCTCACTCCATATTTGTTCATTTTACCCTTTTGAACTCTGGCTGACCTAAAAGGAACCCTATTGTTCCTTCGATCCTCCCTCTCTATAATCTTAGCAGATCGCTTCGATTTCAAATCTAAAAAAAAGAAGAGGAGAGGAATTTACGGTATTAAGATGCTTTGGATAATGCGATTTTCAGGTTTCTTTTCCGCCGCAATGGTGATGATTGTTCTTTCTCCTTCACTCCAGTCATTTCCTCCAGCTGAAGCCATTAGATCCTCTCACCTCGACAGCTACCTCCGGTTGCCGTCATATCAGTTGTCCACTTCGCCAAACTCACTGGAGGACCGCTTCTCTTTTCGAAAAGCCGCCGAATTTCGCAATGCCGATGAATGTGGCTTCACCGGCCACAAAATCACCGGCGTTTGCGATCCTTCTTTAGTCCACGTGGCTATTACTCTCGATGTCGAGTACCTCCGAGGCTCAATCGCGGCCGTGCACTCCATTCTCCAGCATTCTTTGTGCCCGGAGAACATTTTCTTCCATTTCCTTGTCTCAGAGACCAATCTGGAAACCCTGGTTCGATCCACGTTCCCTCAATTGAAGTTCAAGGTTTATTATTTCGATCCTGAGATTGTACGGAACTTGATATCTTCTTCCGTTAGGCAAGCGCTCTGAACAGCCGTTAAATTATGCTAGAAATTACTTAGCGGATCTGCTGGAGCCGTGCGTACGGAGAGTGATTTATTTGGACTCTGATCTAGTCGTTGTTGACGATATCTCTAAGCTGTGGAGTACCAACTTGGGTAGGCGAACAATCGGGGCACCGGAATACTGCCACGCCAACTTCACAAAATATTTCACGGGCGGTTTCTGGTCGGACCAACGGTTTTCGGGACGTTCAATGGTAGGAGGCCCTGCTATTTTAACACGGGGGTGATGGTGATAGATCTGGTGAAATGGAGGCGGGTCGGTACACAAAGCGGATCGAGAGGTGGATGGAGGTCCAGAAAAGTGACCGGATCTACGAGCTAGGCTCGTTGCCGCCGTTCTTGTTGGTTTTTGCCGGACGCGTGGCACCAATCGAGCATAGATGGAACCAGCATGGGCTGGGTGGGGACAATGTGAGGGAAGTTGTCGGGACTTGCACCCGGTCCAGTTAGCCTCTTGCATTGGTCCGGTAGTGGTAAGCCGTGGCTTAGGCTCGATTCGAAAAAGCAGTGTCCACTCGACGCTTTATGGGCGCCTTATGACTTGTACGGATACTCAGAATGAAATCACAGCAGGAATTCTCGCCGGTAAATTTCCACAGGACTGTTATTTTTTGTCATTTATTTTGTTATTTTTATTTCTTATTTTGCCATTTTCTCTTCATTATTTTTGCGTCTTCTTTTTTACTATGATGACCTACTCATTCTTCTTGTTTACAATTTTTTTTAAATTATTTTCTTACGTCATTCCTCAGTCCATATGTATTCTATTGTTCCTGCTTCTGAAAAAAAAAAAAAAAAAAAGACAGAGTGAGAGGAGAGAGAAAAGGAGATACTCAATTAATACAATTGCATACTGAAACTCTTTTTTGGAGTGAATGGAGTTGTGTTGTAGATTTAGCAATGTAGTTTTAGAGTTTCAGTTGGTTTATAGGTCCAAACGGAATCAAACTACCGAAGTCTATCCATTCCGTGGAGATAGCAGTCACGTGGTAATAGTGGCAACAAGGTGGAAAATATGAAAATGACCAAATTGTACTTGTAAATTTTTGTTGTAATGTATTTACTACTAGCATCTGGCAAGAAACATAACTTAGATTAATGGTGTTCTGGCTGGTGTGTCGGCCTACTTGTTCGATTCTTTGGGATAATTTTTCATCTATGTTTCCTTAAATGCCCTTGTGCTAGGTTTAGTGGAGGACGATCGCTGGATCACATGGATTTTTCTTAGTCAGGATAGTACGGTGGTAGGCCTTTCTGGCAAAAATATGGTGCAGTGTTATAGGTAGGGTAAAAAGGGGGTCATAGCTCTATGACCATGAGTATGTGCACACGCTTGCTTGTTGCTTTTATAAAGATACACACCACCTCACTTATCAAATTGAAGTTAAGAGAGACGAAAAATTCAGAAATGAATCAGCCAAATTTTGCATATTCTTGTAGGTGGAGTGCCATGAGCAATGAAGTGGACTTGGAAAGGGGGCATGTGAGCTTTAATTGCCAGTTGGTCGTCCATTTACAAATGGTGGCCAAAAGGGACCGAATTGAGGGGGTGCGGTACCGCCTGGAGAAGTAATTTAGACATTGGAAGAATCTAAAAGAGTTTTGGATTGCCGCTCACTTCATTGGGGCTGTAAAATTCATCTTCTTCTTTTTTTTTTTTAATGGTGGCTTTGTGCTTTGGTGGCAGCGGCGGAAGACTTGTGAGCTACCTTCCCACACTGTCCCTTGCGCACTTAGGTGGCAACACATATTCTCCCTTTGGCGTCAGATTTGTGTTGCAATTTCCTGGTAATTTTTTATTATTTTTTAATACTCCAATAAAAGCATACGTACATACTTCTATTTTTATAATAATTGTATTATCCACCGAATAAATTTATGGTAATGATCAGTGGCAAGTCGAGCGATCAAAATAAAATGGTGGCATCGAAAGAGGGACCCATATTGTCATTGTAGCGTAGGAAATGTCCAAAGTAGGAATGGGGACCGATTCCTTTTGCCCTGGCATCACACGTGGCCAGTTGTTTGGATCTTTGTAGAATCAACGAGTCATCTACGGTTAGTCAGCACCATATGATTTGCAACCCCTTTACTCTTGATCGAAATTAAAAATATGGCTATGCGGCGTCAGCCTGCATGCGGCTGCTCTGCTTGGTCGCTGGTTAATGCTTTAACTGTGAAATTTTTTTTATAATTTAATTAATTAAATTATGACCTGGACATAGTAACAGGTGCTTCTGGGCCTACATTTTTTTTTGGCGTTGAAATCATAAAAGAGCGGTCTGACGCTGACAGCTTTGGATCTCAATTATTCTAATCATATCCTAATCCAGTTGTTTTTAATCATTTGGTTGGGTTTAGGTGATTCTAGAAGGAGAGGCCGGCATGGCAGGGTGATTGCACTACCTTACCCTGATTCCATATAGAAAATCCTTGACTTTGTATAATAAAAAACCTCTGCAATCCAAGTATTATCACCCATAAATATAGGTGAAAAAGGCTGTTACTAATTGATTTTTCATGCGTACGGACGACCTTCTTTGTTGTACCCTCGTTTTTGGAGTTGGTTATTCATGTAGATGGAATTGCTGGCTTATATTGCGATCAAGAGGAGGTTTTTCACGTGGAATGCCTGAAGATTACAAGGCTTTACAATGTACAAGAGAGTAGCCGGACCCATAGACCATCGCTTTCAACTTGGTCCCCAGTAGGAGTCTGCGCATTTCTTTCTTATGCACTAATTTGGTTTACACCCTGTTGCGCTTAAATCTGCAGATAAACCGCAAAGAAAATTGGATCTTTACCAGGAATCGAAAGCTCTTCCTCTATTGTTCGGGCATAATGCCATTGTCTAAGATGCCTGGCATCTTAACCAATGTATGGAAGGATCTGTTGGGAACGACACGAAACAATTTATTGACATGAGCGTGTCTAAGAAACCTCCAAACACGTTGCGTGGTCTTCTTTGTGTTGCTACAAAACTGTCCCCTTTATTCCATAAACACACCAAGTTTGTATTGAATGTGGACAGTGATTTTCATGGCAGCCTTGATATTAGTAGCTCTGGCATTTGGAATCATGTAACAAAGACCAAATCAAGTTATAGTTTCGCTGTTGAAGGCGGAATAAATTTGGTCTCCTGCAAAGCTTCTATTCTTTCCCCATGGAGAGGTTAAAGCACAGAGACATGTTCGGTTTGTGGTTCCCTAAAACTATTTATCAGTCGACTGTGGCATGTGAGGAAAGGCACAAAAGAGGAAAAAAGCTACGTGTAAAATGAGTGTTGAAGGGCTTGAGAACCTTTACAGCTAGAAACAGCCACTGGGTTAATATGGGGTAAAAGAGGGGACCATCAAGTATCAACAATCATTGGTCCACACCGCCACCCCCAGTGCCACAATTACAAGCTTTCCTGCCTAATCTCGAATCAAAGGCTTCTGCTTCATTTCAAATTAAGTGGGGCATATTTACTAGCTGTGTTTTGCACCCAAACATCATATGCAAATCCAACGGAGGAATAAACTTGAAGAACTAGCTCCTCTTACGGTACCTCATAAGAGACGACAGGAGCTTTATTTAGACTTATTGAGGATTAAGCGTGCAAGGGATCAAACTATTCGTGAACTATTAGAGTTAATTCAATAAATACTTGAATTTAACTTATTTATTACTGAATCGAGGTCGATTTGGAGCTATTCGAATAGCTAGACTAGTCAAATTCGTTTTTTGTAATATTCGATTTAAGTGATTTATGAATCTCTTCAAAAATTTAAAATTTAAAATATTATATAAATAAAACATAATATTTACTTATATATTTTAAAATTTAATTTAAATTTTTATTTCGAATTTGAATTCAGATTGAGTTGAATTTCGAATATTTTATATAAGTTAATAATGATAATCCTCAATTATTTTTCAAATCGAGTTGGAGTTAAAAAATGATGCTGGATGGAACCTATCACTGTATTGACCCGACTTATTGAACCCCTACCGACGAATGAAAGCAAGGTTGTATGGGTGGCAAATAAGAAACAACCAACCCCAAGAACGGAGTGGCATTGACTGAGATGGCAATTTCAACCACATATTTTGATAATTATTCCCCTGTCAAAATTTTTAGAGTGCCACCGACAAAGGCACCAAAACACTAGTCAGGCTTTATTTATTTATTTATTTTGTTTTAGTTTTCCCAGAGTAGGAAGGGAAATATTAAGCTCAAATCCAAGATCTTTATCGAAGTGACCTCTAATCATTTTCTCTACCTCATGGACGACAGAAAATTGTAATGACTGAGGCCTGAGCAAACAGCTCAAAGGAGTTCCTTTGACTTGGATTTTAATGATTAACATTATACTAGTATTAGATTCTAGTTTAAAGCTAAAGAGTGGTCTTTTTCCTCCAAAAAGCAACCATGGCATAGCTTATCTAGCTGTTACAATGTCATATTCTTTACTACTTCAAATTTTCACTTCTGCCACCCCATGCTGGATTCCTCTCCTTCTTTAGAATAATTTTGTCTGCTTCTATAAAAATTATTCCATGGATTTATAAATATTCAGACTCAATGAACTAGCGATGGGAATTATGGGTAATTAAGTTTGTTCATTATTTGCCATGTTACAACAAAGATTATCATTATTTGCAATATGATGGCAAATTTCCAAATGATTTTTTACCCAAAAAACATTTTTAAAGAGCTAAGAATTGTTGATTTGTTAGGGAGAGAGATACCAATTATTGAAGCAGCAAAGCAATCAATTCCGCCTCCCCTCAGTTGACCCCAACACACAGGTGACAGGAACTTGGTGACGCCTAATACAAAGAATAATGGAAACTGATCAAAAGTTTGATCAAAGTTCCATCTTAAAAGTGTTCAAGGAGAATCATCTACTTTCAAGAGTAAGAGGGAATTGCCATATAAAATAGAAATGACAGGAACGTTTTAAAACTGGCTGCTAAAAATTGCAACCGACCCAAGATTGAGGGCTGCAGCCTGTAGCTGCAAGCAGAGCGGCTAAAGTAGGACGGATTACACATGAATGCCCTTGCCGCTCCTACATGGATTAAAACGATGTCTTCTACCACGACTACGATCCATAGGACCACTTGAAAACTCTGCCAAAGGAAATGTAGCTTTGACTTTGATGGGACTATTGGCAGGGAGCGCAGCTTCAGAATTTATTGTGTCTATATCTCTATACATGTGCAACCGGGAGATAGCTAAGTTAGCGAGCCGGATTGCCTTTACTCAGATTGTACATTGTAGGGAGCTAGGAGCTGCTTCAGTGTGGGCATACACCTTGGATTATCAAATTAAATTAAGTGGGGCATTACAGGCTTGTTTCACAGTATATCAATGTGCAATTCATGTAATGGCAAGAAATATTCCATGAAAAGCCTATACTTTGTCATGAAATGGAGAGCAAAACAGCAATTGGAAATTGTTCACTTTCTAGAAGAGGATGGTTGGATCCACCATTCTGTTGTCATGGAGTGGGCTAAAGATTCATTCCATTGGAGTGCCTCGTTCTGACATGTGGATTCAGCCAAGCCATGGGAGTTCTCGAAACTTTGTGGAACCATTGAGAAACATCGACACGACGCATTAAAACAGAAGATAGGACAGTGGTTAGACTAGATTCTTGTGGGCAAGCATACAAGAATGCAAAATGGTGCCGAACTTCATATTCGAACAAATTTATGTGCAGCTGGGCTTTCATTGAAAAATGGTGTGGGGTATCAAGAAAATTCATTGGAGGAAGATCAACCAATCTGTAATATTTTAAATCAGGATGCACCCCAGGAACTGAAAAGGCTCTTAGTTTGAACAATCGAAGTTGTGTCATCAATCAGGAGTCACCACAAGAATGGATTTTGTCTGCTTAAACTACCACGTAATCTTGGGATTCTTAGCCCTTTGAACAAACAACAAAGCTGTACTTAGAATTTAGATACATTACATTACATACGAATAAAAAAGTATCAAAAGTAACAAATCACAAACCAAATTACATTCAATATGAAAAGGCAGAGAAAATAAATGCTACAAAATGAAGTTGAGAAACTTCACGCCTTTTGTGTTGCTGCATTTGCACAACTGCAGCTATAACAGAAATATATCAAGGAAACTGGAACCTCATGTAATCCTGCCTTCCAGTTGGAGGACTTATATACACCCAAAGCAAGGAAATAATGATGGAGAGCAAGCCAGACCACACAAAAACAATGGTTGGAACTTTTCCCCTCCTTCCCATCAAACCCTTTGCAAATGGATAGAGATGGCACAGGACCCAGAGGCTGAAGAACACCCCTCCAAAAAGCTTGCTCCACTGTGGAAAGGGGCTGTACATGGTTCTTGCTACACCCACTGCGATGGCAATCGAGTTTACCATCATTATTGTGATTGGAGGAACCATTAGGAAGCTCCATTTTACAACATATAGCTCGGCAAATTCATCATCTCCATCATCTGGGGTGGCTGATTTAGAAGTTAATGTAAAGGAGATGTCAACTCCTGCTATAACCTTTAAGAGTCCTTGTAGAACAGCTGCAGGATGGGCACTGGTCCCACCAATCAACCAGAACTGTTCATTTCGCCACCAATCATGAATAGTGATTCCTGACCATTTGATTTCAAGGATAGCAAGCAGGCATAATGTGATTGTGATGGTCAACAAGAATATCAGGAAGGTCACGCTGAGAGATTGCACTATGAACTGCCCAGAGAATAGAGAAACTGCAGGTAGAATGCAGTAGACTAGGAGAAACATAGAGGTGAAAGGGTACATTCCCACATTGAAATATGCTATTCTTTGTAAGAATTTCATTCGACGACTAGCGAATAGTGCATTGTTCCTCGAGAAGAATATCTCAACAGAACCAGTTGCCCAGCGAAGAACTTGGTGCAGCCTGTCTGTTAAATTGATTGGAGCAGTCCCTCGGAATGCATCCCTCTTGGTTACACAGTAGACTGATCTCCATCCACGATTGTGCATTCTATAACCAGTCACCACATCTTCTGTGACAGAGCCATATATCCATCCTACTCGTTTTCCCCACTCAGTTCTATCCTCATAGAAGCAAGAGATAGCACTTATTGCCTCCGCAACAGTTGCAGCATCCAAAGGCTCACGTGGAACTGCAAGAGAACCTGCTGGCCTGCCTTGGTTTCCCTTTCCTTGCAAATCCTGAAGCAGCCTTCCTTGGTATTCAGCAACTGGGATTGATGCAGCAAGAGAAGTAGAGTTTCCAAACCTTTTCGGAAGAAGCAAAGATTCAATATCTGCATCATCATCATCATTGTGTTCCCCATTAATAGGCAATACTATCTCATCTTCTGCTTTCTTTGTCACCTTGGGTTTCCTCAAAAATAACTTGATTTTCCTTCTACCAAACCACCCATGATGTTCAGTGGCTCTAGGAGGACTAAATCCATAGAGAGCAGTTCTCCTGAAAACGCAGCCTGTGCCCACATACATTGGACCTTGTAACCCATCAAGAGCTCTCATGCTCACATCAAAGAACACGGTATTATGATTTGCATACCGGTCATTTGGGTCAATCCCCTCAAACCTTTGTGGGAATTGAACATAACAGATCCTGTCACCACCTCTATCAAGCATAAAGCACATACCTTCCCTTAGAGCCAAAGAATTGTAAATGTAGTGATCACAGTCAAGATTGAGGATGAATGGCCCATTTGACATTATAGCACTGGTTCGAACCAGCGCATTCATGGCTCCCGCTTTCTTGTTGTGATCATAACCTGGCCTTTTCTCACGAGACACATAAACCAGCATAGGCAACCTTGTATCAACTTCTGTTGTGTCAATCAAGTTATCTCCATCTGCTTCTGAACCATAAACTGGTTCTGCATTTGGTGGGGCGAGCATTGCCTGCGGAGAAAGACTAGATTTCAGCACTTGGAAATTACACAAATTCAATAACCATTAATTCCACAAGTTTAATTGTGAAATGTACCTGAATAATCCCAGCATGATCTCCCTTTGAATGGTCTGGCTCTGCAGAAGCCCAAGTTCCAGGCCAGTGAGAACCGTCTGACATCCAAGTGGCCTTAGGAAGTTTCATAGGGTCTGAAAGATTGCCTCCCATTTCCATCTGTTTCTTTTTAGCTCGAAGCTCTTCATGGGCATTATAAGCATCTGATCGCCTCCTAATTGACTCAGGCAATGAGTTAATCCTCACCTTAAATTCATCATATTCTCTCTTCACCCTCCTTCTCTCCCTAACGAAATCAAGCCTCACTTTGTTCTTCAGAAAATCACGCTTCTGTCCAAAATATGCCTCAGGATTTCGAGGTTCTATATTATGTTTCCGGCAAAAAGGAACCCAAATTCTAGCGAAGCTAGCAGTCTCAGCTAAAGCTTCAAATGTCAGAAGAGAACCACCATCATCTGAGAGATAACAAGCAAGCTTTTCCACTGGATAGTCAACAGCTAGGATTGAAAGGATAGTGTTTGCTGTGACCAGCGGGGGTTCCTTTTCAGGGTCAGCCGTGGAAACAAAAACATCAATACCTGGAAGGTCTGATCTTCCTTTTGGGTTACGAAGGTTTGGAGACTCAAAACGCTCCTTCAGAACAGAGAGGTCAGTTAATCTGTTTACAGGACAGAGCTTAGGAAGCTGATCTAGAAGCCATGAAAAGGCAAACCAGAGCTCACAGGTTATGGACATTCCCCATAGCCACATTGCATCACGGTTAGGGTGCCTAATTCTCCATGTAAGAAAGAAACCCAGGGCAACAAGACGTAGTATAATAAGCAGTCTGCATACAAACAAATGTAATTCATGATATAGGAGACTAATCTTCAACATAGGATAGCACAAACTATTGAATTTCAGTTATCACTTAACCAGACTATATTTGGGAATACAGGATAGCAAAAAATAAGAATCATCATATCTGAAATTAGTTTCTCACTGTTAACACGCAAATGATTTGCAAAGCAAGAAATATCAGTTTCATATTCCAGCAACCTTACTAGATAAAATTTTTCGGATTTAGCATCACAAAGAATGACCAACGTTAGAAAGTAAATGTTAATCAAATCGACAGAAATTGAAGGCAGATAAAAGCTCTTGATTTAAAATCTGAAATTTACCTGTATGGACTAAGAATTGCTGCGGAAACTCCAACCTTCCTAGTCAAAGGCCTCTTACTTCTCTCTCCAAAATCAGGTGGATGCTCGAACCCATTAGCACCTGATCCAACCCCATATCCATCTTTAGGCCACACCGCATTTCCATATCCGTAAGTCCCTTTAGTCTCAAACAACCACCTCGTATGATCAAAATCTGGTGGATGATTCTGCCCTTTAAATGATTTCACAAGTGAAAGCCTTTTATCCAACTTGAAATCAGCCATTGAAGGCAAAGGCAAAGCCTGATCTTCTGCTTCAGACCTAACCTCATCTTCGTCATCATCACCATCACTAACATCCTTGTAAGGCTCTTTACACCCAGGGCAATGACCTCCACCACTCCCCACGCAATCCAGGTAACAGTCTGTACAAATTTTAAACCCACATTCACATTTTCCTTGAATTGCTTTCTCATCACACCCTTTCATCCCACAAACCAAGCCCGATTTCAGTGTCTCAGGTCTTTCCAAGGAACAATCAATGACATGGCCACGAGTGACCGAATTGTACCCTCCTGTGAAAATAGTACCCGAAATGAAACTCCTCTCAGGCTTCAGCTTCAGCCCATCTTTCCCATCCTCACTAAGGCTTGTTTGAGAGGCTGAGATGGATTGGTGGTCAGGAGTTGGAGGTATATGGACTGTGTAGCTAACGAATTCCGAATTTATCTCTTCAATGGGTTCATCTTTCGACATCGAACAATATCTTCCTCCACTTGAAGCCCTTCTATTTCCTCTGCTACCGAGAGGACTAGGGGAATTTGGGTTGTTCACAATTGAAGCACGTGGAACTGGGCTAGTCAAGCCCATACTTCTACTCCCAGTTTCTTTGCCTCCTGACGAAACCGTTATCGTCACCGGAGAAGAAGTTTGAGAAGTGGCCGTTTTCACCATCTTTACAAATAAGATTTGGCTTCTCAAAAAAAGACCTCAAAATTTGAAGGAAAAGATATTAGAAAGAGAGAAACACGCCGATGAAGAAAAAACTCAAAGAATCTAAAGAAAGATGAAAATTTTTTGAACAGAGGAATGAAGGTGGTGCATTTCCAAGCAAAGGTTGCATTCGAATTTTGAAGTGGGAAGGAATTTCTTCTACTAGGAGCCTAAAAGGTTTATAGTAACGGTCGACTAACGTGGTCCGTGGATCTAGTAGGATCGGACGGTTACTTTTTCAATTGAAACGGTCGATGTTTTCGTAGGGGGGCCAGGACCAAGAGAAAAGTCAAAAAGTGGAGGCCCTTCTTTAACTTCCAAGTCCAACGGTCGACTTATCTTAACGGTGTAAAATTTTGGGTTACTCAATTAAATAATGTCATAATTTATGTGGGGTCATTGTTCAAAATTTTGCCCCTGCATGCATATAATTCCTTGGGATCTGGGTTCCTTTCTACGAGTATTAATTTATTACACCAATCTTGGTGGCAGCGGAAAGAAAAAAAGAAAGATTTTGAAACCATATTATTCTATTATATTAATCCGACCGCTCATTATTTTAAAATTTGTAATATATTTTTTTTCCCGATGAAACATAGGAGTTCCATCTCTACTTACATTGTAATGTCTTAAAGCAGTAGACACAAGTCAGAACAGTTCAACTGAGTTATCAAAGGTTCGATTAACCTTAAAACTTTCGGTCACTTAGAACTTGGAAGCTTTGGACAAGTCAAGTGCGAAAGAAGATTTGAGTTCAAGTCAAAACGAGGCCCCAGTCCTTGAATTGGCTGTACCAACAAGCTAGCCAAGTAGCTAAGCACAAGTATGTTTTGTAGTGCTGCCTCGGATGTTGCCCTTGCTCATCACCAACAAGCCAAGGCCCTTGCACATATCTTTTTCAGGCCCCTTTATAAATGAAAACCATTGACATTTCGCAAGAGATAAGAGAGAGAGAGCATTGAGTATATATTATGCAGGCAAGAAATTTCTTATGGAATTAATAATTAAACTTGGCTAAGGATTATTAAAATAATAATCAATAAAGTTGATGACCTAGAAACATGAATAAAGACGTAGTAGTATATCTGTAAACAACTAGTATTGCATTTATTAATAACCAAAAATTAAAAAAAATGAAGAAGAGACTTTTAAATATAAGACATGCACTTCCCAGCAATACTATGACTTTGAACTCAAGGAAAAATATAGCTATACAATGAAAATTTTCCAATTTAATTGGACATGTAAGGTAATTCAACCAAACTAGTTTTTTTTTTCCTTGGAAAAAGAATGTGTAATAACAAGTAGTGGACTAATTATTTTTTGAGTCTTTATGTTATATGTTCACACTTTCAATTTAATAAACAAACTTATTAAGTGGAAGAAAGATTTTATTTATAAATTCAAAATTCATCTTATTTTTTATTAATTAAGATTTATGACATCTACGAATTACGAATTTAATGATATATAGAAGTATGACATAAACTAATTGTAATAGTTTTCTTTACTCCAAAACATAAGCTAATATATATCAATATGATGATCATGATTACCATAGTATTAATGAAGTTCATTTTTCTTAAAAAAAATTATTAATGATAATTACTCACATCATATACTATCAACAAACAAATTAATAGAACTCAAAATTCCAAATGGTATAATATAAAATGGTTACTTTTGTTTTTGAATAGCCCATTGTCAATGAATTGTTTATTATAGAATTTACAAATTGTTTAACATTAATTTAGACTTTAAGTGCTTAATTACTTTTGTTTTGAAAAATGAAATGTAAGAATTTAAATATTTAATATTGACTTGAATGAATGTATAAATTTAACACTAGTGTTGGATCGAATTTTGCCTTTTAATCATTTGGATAATTGGTTTAAGTTTGAATTTTAGTATGTAACTGATATGAAGTTGGAGTAAAATTCGAATCTTAACTACCTCTTCAATTTGAGCAAATTTGGATTTAGATATTTAAATGTTAATTACCAAACATAATAATAACTGATGAAGCGATAAATTAGGAAAAGGCAAGACATGCAACCGCAAGAAGACAACAAGTACGGACAAAGTCACTGTATTTCTATAATTTCCTTTTGTGGTAAAGAAAAGTTTAAATGGGCTTTGAGGAAATGGAAGGAAAACGGCTGAAAGGCCCACAAATTCAAGAGAACGAGTCAACCAACAGGCGGGAAGCGTCACGTCATGGGTCCCCACGTCTCCGCTGCTCGAACTTTACCGTGTCTGTTCTCTGGTTTAAAATGTCAAACAACAAATATATTTGTTTTGCATGCCTTTGATTGAATTATAAACATACACTATAAGAATAAAAGGAGGTAAACTAGTATTTATTTCTTTTTATTATTTCATAACTTTCATTTTCCAAATTCGAATTTAAATCTCCAAATTGAATTTTCGATCATTTGAAGAAGAGTCAAGACATGTAAAATCTACTCTTTTGAAAATAAAGGGAAATAAATAAATAAATATTGTAGAAGAAGAGAAACGAAAGAAGAGAGCCAAGACCAGTTCGCTCCTTGCTTGGCTGATGCCAGCAAAGTTGCAAGAAAGAAGAAAAGAAACAGAGCCGGCACTCCACAAACATTCATCATTTCCATTTCTTTAAGCCCATCCCCTGACCAAAACCAACTCCCTCTTTGAATTCCTGCAGCAATTCATTTCTCTCTAAAGTTTCTCGGACAAGACCATGGCTAATGAGAAACTCCATCGCATCATCTTCACCTTCTTTTTCATTTCAGTTTCTCTCCTCGACACATCACTTTCTCAACCCCAAACTCCAACTCCAGCCCCAGCTCCTGCGCCAGCCTCCGACTCGTGCAACGGTATATTCTTATCCTACACTTACACCGCAGGCCATTCCATCCCTCCCACCGACCCGAACAACCAGGCGTACCGTTTCGAGTCCACTTTAACTGTTCTCAACAACGGACGTCACGAGCTCAAGTCTTGGAGAGTGTTTGTCGGGTTTCAGCACAAGGAGCTTTTGGTCTCTGCTTCTAACGCTGTTTTGGCTGATGGGAATTCGCTCCCTGCTGAGGTTGGTAACGGCACCGTTTTCGCCGGATTCCCTATGAGTGACCTTAAATCGGCTGTGGAGACTGCTGGAGACATGACACAAATGGAGGTTCGGGTCGGGTTGGTGGGTACCCAGTTTGGTGTTGGAGCTCCAGATGTTCCCATGCCGCTTAATATTAGTCTTGTAAATGACGGGTATTCTTGTCATAATCTCACCAACCAAGGTTTGGTTACTTAATCAATTTTTTAATGAATAATGTTTCGTTAAATTTGGTTTTATAAGATTAATTTGGGAGATAATAGGTCTAATGATCTATGTTTCAATAGTAGAAAAGGAGAAACAAGAAGGAAATTTGCATTTTCTTTTAATTAATAACTTGAAAAAGATGATTTTGGAGCATAAAATACCAGGAGTGTAAGATTCATTGAAAAGTCAAAATGTATGGCGTCAATTCATGAACCTTCTCAACATTGACCTGTTTTATAGTAAACGCTAATGATTTTGACCAGGGATATTACATAATTTACCCTCACAATTAATATTTTTGAAAAGTCTAATGAAAAAAAAAAACGATTGTAATCAATAACATATTGAAATGTGAAACTTTTTCATTTTACTTTCTTGTTAGGCATCTGATCTGTTTTAGGAATTTAAAAGTTGGAAAACTATGTGCATTCTATTGATTAATGAGTTGATTTTTATGGTTTTCACTAGGGAACAATGAGATGCATGTATGCTGCATTCAAGATATAAACTCTGGTTCAAACAATGCGCCAAATGATGAATTCTTGCCCAGGCAAGAAGGTGATCTTATAATCATGTATGATGTGATCAGGGCATATGATACTAATTACTGGGCAGAGGTTTCAATCTCGAACCATAACCCTCTTGGTCGCCTTGATAATTGGCAATTGAGCTTTGATTGGATGAGGGAGGAATTCATCTATACCATGAAAGGGGCTTACCCTTATGTTGTTGATACAACAGACTGTATTTTCGGCAGGCAAGGTCAGTACTTCAAGGATATGGATTTTTCACAGGCATTGAATTGTGAGAGAAGGCCTACGATTATTGACCTTCCCCCAACAAGGGCAAATGACTCGATTCTTGGGAGAATTCCCTTCTGCTGCCGAAATGGGACAATTCTGCCACCTTTAATGGATCCAAGCAAGTCTAAATCATCTTTTCAAATGCAAGTTTTCAAGATGCCCCCAGACTTGAATAGGACAGAGATAACTCCACCCCAGAACTGGAAGATCCATGGCACTATGAATCCAGATTATGAATGCGGGAACCCAGTGCAAGTAAGCCCAAGTCAATTCCCTGATCCAAGTGGTTTGCCTTCAGAAACAGCAGCAATTGCCAGTTGGCAAGTAGTTTGCAATATTACACACTCCAAGGAGGCAATTCCAAAATGTTGTGTCTCATACTCAGCATTTTTCAATGATTCTGCTATTCCATGCAACACATGTGCTTGCGGCTGCAATGGCAACCCAAGCCAGACCTGCAGTGCCACAGAACCAGCTCTACTTCTACGACCCGATGCTCTTCTTATACCTTTTGACAACAGAACTGTTGAAGCTCTGAAGTGGGCTGAGATAAATAGACGAACAGTTCCAAATCCATTGCCATGTGGAGATAACTGTGGAGTTAGCATCAACTGGCACTTATTATCAGATTACAGAGGTGGATGGAGTGCAAGAATCACTATTTTTAACTGGGGTGAAACTAGCTTTGAAGATTGGTTCGCAGCCGTTCAATTTGACAAAGCAGTACCAGGCTTTGAAGAAGTCTACACCTTCAACGGAAGTGTGCTGCTTGGTTCCAATAATACGATATTCATGCAAGGTCGTCCGGGGTTGAATTATCTTCTGGCAGAAACAGATGGAGCCAATCCAAAAAAGGATCCCCGTGTTCCTGGTACACAGCAATCAGTTATCTCATTCACCAAGAAGTCTACACCTGGTATTAATGTGGCAAAAGGGGATGGTTTTCCATCTAAAGTCTTGTTCAACGGAGAAGAGTGTGCGCTTCCTACTATACTTCCAACTAACAAAGCTCCCAGGATCAGTGCAGCAACCAGCATTTTTGGCTTTCTAACTCTTGCTCTTTTCTTGCTAATGCAGTGATAGCTGCTCAATCGCCTTAGTTGGATGAATTTGTTATTATGGCCGCTCCAAATTCTTTTTTCCCTCTTCAGTTGCCCTTCTTGAGGCCAATACATGTTTGGCCTCCTGTTAGAGGTGGATTTTTTAGCATTGAGCTATTATTCAATTCTCACTGCATATACAAAAGTTATATAGTTTAGCTAAATGTTTTAACTTTTAAGACGTACTAGCATTTTACTGCATATATTCAATTATTAATCCATTTCTTGGCCATTAGGTGAGATATTTAATGTTTGTTTGCTGCATAATCCTCCGAATTTCCGACGACTTGTGTTTTGATGGTTTGACAGCAATTTGGTAAACAAGTGATTTAGTTCCTAATGATTCAGGATGTTAATTCCAATTACTGGAGCAAGCTCCTGCTCTTTGGAAATCTAAATCTTCTTTTGATCTATTAAAAACACAAGGAAATTGTTTTCACAAGACAAGAAGAAAGAAATGGTAAAAGGCAAATGTTATCTGCCAAGGAGCTTTCAATAAAAGTAAATGAAAACAAAATTTCAGCATAGAGAAAAACCTGCCATGACTAGCTCCAGTCTCCAGAGCTTCCAAATTTCGATATATAAAAAAAAATTGAACTTGAAAACTCGTTCGAGATAGCCTACTCGCTGCATGTTCTAATTTAAAGAAACAATAAAATGTACATTTGAAAGAAAATTTGGATGCTAATCTTCTGGCTGACTAAAACAAGAGACAACTGCACGAGAAGTACATGAGAGAGAGAGAGAGATGACTAGGATGATCTTCTATGGAGAATAAATTTTTATGGCTAGCCGTCAGGGGTTGGACTGAGATCAGATGTCCAATGACTGCACCCTTTTGCTACAAAATACCATAATAAACGTAAATAAGTATTAACTATTGCTTTGATTAGATTCATAATCACCAAAAAGAACTAGTGGAAGTACTGAATGTTGAAAGCTAACCTATACAAATGGTCCACGAAAGATGTCTTCCTGATCAAATTGTCTGACCAGAAAGGAGGGCTCATAGATCAACTCATCTACAGCTGGAGGTGGGTTTGAAAGCTCAGTCACGTTTCCTCCGTTTCTGTAAAAGTGTTCTTCATTCGAGATGGCAACACCACCAGCAAAATCTTTATGGTATAACAAGTTTGCTCGAGAGAGATCATGCGAGGAGAATTCAGTTGGGAGACTGCGACTTGAGTCTGAAACCATTGTGTCAAAAATATTGCTCCCTTGATGATCATTTGGACCTGCACTAAAATTTTCATTTGCTCTCTCAAATCTACATGACTGTGGAGCCATGAGATTTTGCAGTGGAAGTTGATGACATGAAGCGACAGTGGGTTGTGCTTGTAGGTTGTGCTGGTGAATTGAAGAAGCTTGCTCAAAGAAGGCATTGAGATCTCTGTTCTCAGTCGAGGGTCCACCTACCTTTTGAAGATGCATCCGGTATTTCTGCCCATGCAATTTATATTACGAGCATGTTTTTTGTCAAAAAAAAAAAAAGAGGCAATTCACTCAGTTTTAGTTCTCGAATAATCTAGAACCTGTTAAAGGAATTTCATGAAAGTAGAACGTTACCTGAAGATGACTGGCAATATTTGCTCTTGTAAGACCAGTAACATTCATAGCTTGCATACGCTCCAAAATTTTCTTGGGAACAGCCTCTGCAATAACATGATCATCAGATGCGAAGAATTAACTATGCAAAAATAGACTGAAGAATTAACTATGCAATGGAGAGTTCATACTGTCACGTCCTAGTTGATTTACGGCAGCAACAAACATATCATGGAGCTCTTGGGTCCAAATCATCCTCGGCTTCTTCGTAGTTGTCACTTCATCAGAGAATTCACCATCATCTTCATCTTCATCTTCATCTTCATCTTCCCTTGTCCGTTTCAAGCTTGGCAGGCTCCCTTTATCTCTCGCGGGCATTTGATCAGCATCCTTAGCTTGTTCTAATTGCAATAACCTGTCATTAACGTTGTTCCCTGGCTGCTGAAACTCTCCCAAGCCACGTCTTTTCTTACGAAGCACATGCTGCCATATGAATCTAATCGAGTCTAAGCGAACTGGTTTTACCAAATAATCACAAGCTCCATGGATTATTCCCTTCATAATAACTCCTCTTTTATCATCTGCAGACATCACTGTGATAACATAAACAGAATTAGGATCAAATTAATATGGACGATAAAAATCATTAAAAGACATACTCAAAAGCGTGGGGATTTTTTTTTTTTTGAAGAAAACATTCTTTACTTACTAACAACCGGCAAGTCCATTTCTAATCCTATGATATCAAGAAGCTTAAGCCCATCCATTTCAGGCATATGTAAATCACATATGACAATATCAAATCTTTCATTGTCTTCTCGAAGCAAAGCAAGGGCGTCCTTCGCTAACCGACACGTGGTAACTGAAAATCACCACATCAAATTAGAAAACAGAAGCAAATCACGATTAATCATTGTCAAAGTGTTTTCAGATGATCTATTTGCAGTATTCAAACGTAAACGTAATGCATCATCTCAAGAAAAGGTGAAAGAAAAGCAAAAAAACCTCAAAAATTAAAGAAAAAAGAGTGTTAATTTTGAAAGGGAAAAAGAAAAAGGAATTAAAGATAGCAATGATCATAAAATCAAAACCAAACTAACCACACCAATATACCTTCATATAAAAGCTTTCGAAGCATTATCTCTAATACTAGGAGACATGTTCTAGAATCATCAACTATGAGAATCTTCAAACCAGCCGGAAATTCACCAACAACACTATTGTTAACTTTATCCGCACAACTGTTCTTCAAAAAGGATATTTGAATATCCTGTTCATCCATTAATCGAAACAACTATCCAAGAATAAAATTATGGGAATCAAAAAACAGAAATAGACAATGCAAATGTAAACTAATAACAAGAAGCTGGTGACCAAACTTTATTCACTCCACATCTCGGATAAGTGTATCTGCGGAATAATCTCCATTGTTTTTTCCTTAAAACTTTCTTCTGATACTAGGGTGGTTGAATAATTTTGTTCGCATTTGCCCCTGAACCATTGAATGAGGCAATCAGGATAGCGTCTGTTTAGGGTTTGTTTGGTTTGTTAAACAAGGCGAGGATGAAATCTAGGCATTTCTAACCCTATATTCAACTTTCAAAAAGAAGATATCCGGTGTTCCCTTCAAGGAGGTAGCAAAAAAAATCTAGGGTCTTTCATTTTATTAACATTCATATCAGTTATAAAAAAAAACATTTATTATAGATAAATATTTATAGAAGTATGACACAAATTAATTGTAATAGTTTTCTTTACTCCAAAACGCATGCTATGATGATCATGATAACCATAGTATTAATTAAGTTACTTCATTTTTTTTTAAAAAAAATAAATTGTTAATGATAACTACTCACATTTCATATGATCAACATTCAAATTAATAGAACTGAAAATTCCAAATGGTATAATATAAAATGGTTACTTTTGTTTTTGAATAGCCTATTGTCAATGAATTGTTTATTATAGAATTTACAAATTGTTTAACATTAATTTAGACATGAAGTTTTTAATTACTTTTGAAATGTATGAATTTAAATATTTAATATTGACTTGAATGAATGTATAAATTTAACATTAATGTTGGATCGAGTTTGCCCTTTAATAATTTGGATAATTGGTTTAAGTTTGAATTTTAGTATGTAACTGATATGAAGTTGGAATAAAATTCGAATCTTAACTACCTCTTCAATTTGAACAAATTTAGATTTAGATATTTGAATCTTAATTACCAAACATAATAATAACGGATGAAGCGATAAATTAGGAAAAGGCAAGACATGCCGAGAAGACAACAAGTATAGACAAAGTCACTGTTTTTCTATAATTTCCTTTTCCGGTAAAAACTTTAAATGGGCTTTGACGAAATGGAAGGAAAAAGGCTGAAAGGCCCACAAATTCGAGAGAATGAGTAACCCACCTGCCGGGGAGCGTCACGTGATGGGTCGCCACGTCTCCGCTGTTCGTACTTAACCTGGTCTCTTCTCTTGTGTAAAATGTCAAACAACCAAAAATATTTCTTTTGCATGCCTTTGATTGGATTATAAGCATATACTATAAGCACAAAAAAAGGTAAACTAGCATTTATTTCTTTAAGTTATTTCATAACTTTCGTTTTCCAAATTAGAATTTAAATCTCCAAATTAAATTTTCTATCATTAGAAGAAGAGTCAAGACATGTAAAACCTACTCTTGAAAATAAAGGGGAATAAATAAATAAATAAATAAATCTACTCTTTCGATCATTAAATTTTCTTTTGATACTAGCCAGGGTGGTTGAATAATTTTGCTTGCTTTTCCCCCTGAACTATTGATTGAGGCTATCGGGATAGCATATGTTTAGGGTTTGTTTGGTTTGTTAAACAAGACGAGGATGAAACCTAGACGTTTCTAACCCAGTATTCCCTTTAAGGAGGTAGCGAAAAAATCTAAGGTCTTTCATTTTATTAACAATCATATCAGTTATAGAAAAAAAAAATTCATTATCGATAAATATTTATAATTTTTGGAGAAATGATCACAGGTGTGTTTTTTACATATTATTCATTTATTTATGATTATTTTAATGAGCATACGTTTATGCTATTTATTATTTTTCATATTACTCTTCAGAAATATTCATTTACTATTAATAATGGTGAATATATATATATATATATATATATATATATATATATAAACATGATCATTACAGTGGAACCGTGGTCATAAAATCTTTACTCGTGGTATTTATGCTTTAGCAGTTAAGCAAATCATGCCTCTTATAGTTAGGATCCTTGTACTTTTTGTATACAATGAAGATAGAACTTGACAGTTTATTTTATTTTATTAATTAAAACGGAGATGCACTTGGCAGTTTTATTCGTCGAACCTTAGGGCATGACAGTGAAATGTTCACTTAGTTGTCTTACGTATATATGAGCTTAAGTTTCTCAACTAGAACTTGAAAAGAACCCCAATATAGACCTCTGCTCAAGTTAAAATAGAAAATTTCCTGACCAAGTCCCACATTCCAGTACATCTACCATATCGTAGAATCATGCTTCCATACTAGAATACGCACGGATAGAGGTGGACGCCGAAAAGGGCCTGGCTCAGGAGCAATTTGGTCTGTTAACAGGCCTCAGTCCAAAAAAATAATACAAAAACTTTTTGCATGTTCATGATACTCATAGGTAAATATTAATCCTGTTCTAGAAACATGTAGTTCTGCGTCAAATATGGAAGGGAGAGCAGAATATCATGAGGTCATAACAATCCCTGTATGCCTTCTGCTTTTCATTACTTTGAGATATCCGCACAAATTTTTCTTGTTACACGTAAAATCACCTCATTACAATGACAAAGGAATATTCGACAATCTAATTCCCAGGCACCTATTTGAAAAAGTTTTCTGGAATGACCTCTACACAAACTTCTGAGAAAAAAGTGTGATACAAAACTATGTACAAATTCCCCACAACCAATGTTAGTTTATGATTCCTATCAGGACCATTCTAAGGAAAATCATTGGTGGTTCGCCGGTCTGAATATATACATGATGAATCATGTCAAACTAGGATGCTAAGCTGCTGTCAGTACAGTATGATAATAGGATCACAGGAATAACTCTTTGAGGATCAAAAGGACTATCATGATGAAGCATAAAATTACAAGCACTGTTGCACACATCACCATCCCTCCCTTCTTCTGTGTTTGCTCAGCCTGCAATTTCAAAATACGCAACATGATTGTCTTAAACCTAATTCTGAAGCCCAAATCACAATAACCTAAGGACTGCCAAAGCAACTAATGCACATGCCACATACATTAAGTTCAAAAGAAATCTTATACCAAATGAGGACACGTGGTCTGTGATATCCAGGGGTTTTGGAAGGGGAAATGGTTCATAAAATATCTGCTGAAATATAAGTGATGAGTTTGTCTGTGTGTGTGTGTGTGTGTGTTGATGAATGGGTGGGTGAGTGAGACGCAGAAATAGAGAACCTTCTGGAGCTGTTTGAAGCCCTCCTCAACAGATGTAGCTACGTTTTGGATATTGTAGTCTATCCGATCAACAATCGTGCCCTGATAGAAGATATTAGATACAAATCAGCCAGTATCAATCAACCACAATTAATAGCATAATACTAGAATGTGTCTCAAACCTGGTCTATCACAAGGACTGAGAGATCTTTCATGATTTGAGCAAGCTCGTTTACTGACTTGACAACCTACAAAATGACTATATCCATTAGAAGGGAACTACCATTGAAACAATTAACAACATGCATTGAGATACCTGAGTGATCTCTCTCTCCCTTTCTAGAGTTGAAAACTCACTCTGCTTCAGCTTGCTCATTTGGTGCTCATTAAAACCCTGCATTAGTCAACCATCATATTATATATAGCAGACCATAGAACTGGTTGGATTGAATCCTAAATGATTCAGGCCTTGCAATCTATTATATGCTGTAACATTTACAAAACAGGTGAACTTTGTTCAAGCATATTCCAATTCCAAAAGTATCCACCATAAATTATGCTTCAGTTGTGTTTGACATCCTTCCAATCTACATTTCTACACCACATCACCCACTTTGCAGCATAAATTGAAATCCCTTAACACCTAAGTCCTAATTATAGAAATCAATTCACCTATAGAAATAGTTCGGATCGAAAGTACAAATAAGAAAATGACATTACCATGTCACTGAATTCACTATCTTCTAATCTATTTCTGTTCTCATTCAAGTTCAACTCCAAGTCAACACCATCCTGTCCCTACGCAACAAAACATATATACATACAAAGTTAAGTAGCATATAAAACAATCAGAGTAACAGAAAGCTTCATAGAAATTAACAAACTAACCAAATATCAATCAAAACAAACCTCTTTTTGCTGCTGCAGCTGTCTCAAATAAGTTGACTGTTTTCGCCGCAAGTCCATGGACAGGTTCTGAAGGTCTGTTGCTAGTGAACGCTGCTCACAAGAGGAATTTTAGAATAACACGGATTAGATATAAAGAAGGAACTCAGTTAATAAATAACCAGAAATTCAATTAAACCAAATTCACATTATCTAAATTTGAAGCTAGAAATAATCAACATTATTTGAGAATAATAGAATTATCGTTAATTACCTGCACATTTTTTCTGAGATTGGAATCCTCGGACGATCCGTTGCTCGACAGCTTTTGCAATCTCTTTTCTGATTTCCTTAATAGATCTGTAATTTCTTTGGTTAAACCCTCAATCGCGCGTTGATCTTCTTTGCTGTCTCCAAATGAAGGCATTAAAGCCTTGGAATGAGCTTTGACTAACTCCGCCATCTTGACCTTAGCTCGTTGAATATTTGCCGCTATTTCTTCCGAATCGTCAATCCAAACCGGCGGCAAACCTATCGTAAACGCACCACTACTGCAACAAACAAAAAAACAAAAGAAAATTTATAATTATCGAGGAAACATAGAGATAAATTCAACAGAAAAAAAAAAAAGAAAAGAAAAGATATGGAGAGGTAGTTACCTTGAAGGACCAGGGTCTTCTTCGGTGCTGAGAGGAGTGTAAGAGGAACGATTGGAGCGAAGGAAAGAAGCGTTAACCATTTCAATAACCGGACCACCGGAACCGGACGCTGAGGAAGAGAGAGGAGCTCGTACGCTCTTTAATGCGTCTCTGTGCTTTTTGTACTGGACGGTCCGGTTTCTTGTTGCCATTGGGGAAAAAAGAACGCTAACGGTTTTTCTTGGGAAATCGGAAAAGCAATGAACGTGAAAGAGGACGATTCAGAAGGAAATTGGGAATTCTTTTAAGGAATGAGAAAGTGAGAGAGGGAATGCTTGAAGATGG